AATAACGCTGCTTGGCTCCCTGGATTCAGCCCCTTTCCAAAATATGTATGGACAGATTTCCCAACTTGCTGTGGATCTCAGGGCCAGATTACGTAAAACGCCTGGGTTTCTGTGTGTGCCCGAGCAGCTGATCTGCTGAGACTCCACACAGCTCTGTGTATCAGACACAAAGCTCTGGTGGCATGGGCTTACAAGGGGATCCCCTGATCCATGGGTTGCAAAGATCAATAGGAGAAGCACTGTCTCCTGAGCAGGATTGGACAATCACTCACTGCTTCCCTTGGCTGGGAGTGGGGGTTCCTTTGGCTCCATGCTGCTCTCGGCTGGGCCATCGCACCCTCTCGCCACTTTTCTTCATTCTCCATGGGGCGAGCTGTTCTTCCACTCAGTCCCAATGTGAGAACCTGGATATCTCAGTTGAAGGTGCTGAATTCACCTGCCCCTTTTCATTCCTCTTCGTGAGTGCTGGGGAGTGCAGCTGCTTTTAATTGGCCATACTGGATCACTCTAAACATTTCTCTTTTAGTCCTTGTTCTTAATTCCTATAGCCCTTGGTTTAACATTAGTTTCTTAATAAAATAACCTGTCCACATTCTCCAGTCTTGGGATGATGATTCAGGCCAGGGATCCAGGCCATTTTCTGAAAAGTTGCTGAACTTGCAGCCTTGTCCTGTTCACACCTGAGCTAACACGCTGCAGAGAGGTACTCCTTCCACCTCTTGGCAACCGAAGACAGCCCTTGATAATTATAGTTTTATTGAAGTATAATAAGTATTGTAAATTACATAAAATTAAACAGTGACTTTCACTTGGCATTTTACAGTAAACAGCATTATATGTTTGAAATTAATTTAGTCATCCACGGAGCCTAAAGCAGTATGCTGCCACTATAATTTAGGATCTCGGCCGGATGCGATGGCTCAAGCCTGTAATGCCAGCACTTTGGGAGGCTGAGGCGGGCAGATCACAAGGTCAGGAGATTGAGACCATCCTGGCTAACACGATGAAACCCCATCACTACTAAACAAAAAAAAATACAAAAAAATTAGCTGGGTGTGGTGGCGGGCACCTGTAGTACCAGCTGCTCAGGAGGCTGAGGTAGGAGAATGGCGTGAACCCGGGAGGTGGAGCTTGCAGGGAGCCAAGATTGTGCCACTGCACTCCAGCCTGGACCACAGAGTGAGACTTCGTCTAGAAAAAAAAAAAAAAAAAAAAACAGTCGTGATTCTTTACAATTCCTTCCAGCAGGAGTTGGAGTCTATTTTGTACTCTGAATCCAGACTGGCAGTATAATTTGCATTGTCCAATAAAATGGGATAGAAGTAATATTATACTAATTTTGAGCCTGGACCTTAAGAGGATTTACATTGTTTTGCTTGCTGCTCCTGGTACTCTTGCCACTGCCATCATGTGAACAGGCCTGAAGTAGCCTACTAGAGAATGAGCGACCACATGGGACCATTCAGCCAAGTCATGTTATTTTCTTTTCTTTCTTTTAAAAAATCTGCTTTTTACAGCCGGGCACAGTGGCTCACGCCTATAATCCCAGCACTTTGGGAGGCCAAGGCGGGCAGATCACGAGGTCAGGAGATCGAGAGCATCCTAGCTAACACGGTGAAACCCCATCTCTACTAAAAATACAAAAAATTAGCCGGGCACGGGGGCGGGGCGCCTGTAGTCCCAGCTACTTGGGAGGCTGAGGCAGGAGAATGGCATGAACCCGGGAGGCAGAGTTTGCAGGGAGCTGAGATCGTGCCACTGCACTCCAGCCTGAGTGACATAGTGAGACTTTGTCTCAAAAAAAAAAGTCTCAAAAAAAAAATTTGCTTTTTTCATTCTTTAAAAAAAAATTTAATTGACACATAATACTTGTTCATATTTATAAGGTAGAGAGTGATATCTCAATACCTGTGTACAATGTGTAATGATCAAATCAGGATAATCAGCATATCCATCACCTCAAATATTTATCATTCTTTGTGCTGGGAACACTCAAGAGCCTCTCTATTTAAAAATAGACAATAAATTATTATTAACTGTAGTCATCCTACAGTGTTACAGAATATCAAAACTTATTCCTCTCTATAAGCTGAAATCTGACATTTCTTTGTTGATTTTCTATCTAGATGATCTGTCCAGTGCTATGAGTGAGGTATTATGGGGTGTTAAAGACCCCAACTGTTACTGGATTGGAGTCTGTCTTTCCCTTTAGATCTAATATTTGCCTTGTTTATCTGAGTGCTCTAGTGTTGGGTACATATATATTTGCACTTATTATATCCTATTGCTAAGTTGATCCTTTCATCATTATAAAATGTCTATCTTTGTCTCCTTATACAGTTTGACTTAAAGTCTGTTTTATCTCATGTAAGTATAGCTACTCCTGCTCACTTTTGGTTTCTGTTTGCCTGGAATATCTTTTTCTGTCCCTTCACTTTCAGTCTGTGTGTACCTTTACAGGTGAAGTTAGTTTCTTGTAGGCAGTATGTAGTTGGGTTTTTTGCTTGTTTTATCTTGGCAACCAACTCATATCTTTTAATTGGGAATTTGATCTGTTTACTTTCAAGGTTACTATTAATAGATGAGGGTTTATCCTGTCATTTTTTTTTTTTTGGTTGTTTTTTATATCCTGTGTTCTTTTCTTCCCCTATTTTTTTTTTTTTTAAATCTTTGTGGGTTGGTGGTTTTCTATAGTGATAAAGTTTGATTTCTTTCTCTTTCTTATGTATCTGCTCTACCAGTGAGTTTCATAGTTTTGTGTTTCTCATGATGGTAATCATCCTCTTGCTTCCATTTGTAGAACCTCCCTTAAGCATTCCTTGTAAGGCCAGTCTAGTGGTGATGAATTCTCTCAGGTTTTGCTTGCCTAGGAAATACTTTATTTCTCCCTCATTTCTAGAGGATAGCTCTGCTGGGTATAGTATTCTTAGTTTATAGTTTGTTTTTGGTTTTTTTCCTTTCAGTACATTGATTATATCATCCCATTATCTACTGACTTGTAAAGTTTCCACTGGGAAATCCACTATTAACCTAAAGGAGTTTCCCTTACATGTGACTTGATGCTTTTTTCTTGCTGTTTTTAATATTTCCTTTTTTTTTTTTTTTTTTTGGACTGTCTCACTCTGTTACCCAGGTTGGAGTGCAATGGTGTGATCTCAGCTCACTGCAACCTCCATCTCCTGGGTTTAAGTATTTCTCATGATTCAGCCTCCCAAGTAGCTAGAACTACACGTGCATGCCACTACACCTAGCTAAGTTTTTTTGTATTATTAGTAGAGACGGGGTTTCTTTAAGTTGGCCAGGCTCGTCTTGAACTCCTGGCTTTGTGATCCACCCGCCTCAGCCTCCCAAAGTCCTGGGATTACAGGTGTGAGCCACTGCACCTGACCAATATTCCGTCTTTTTGACTTTTGAAAGTTTGACTGTTATACAACTCAGAGAAGACCATTTTGGGGTTGATTCTATTTGAGAACCTTTGAGCTTCCTAGATTTCAGCCATATCTCTCCCATGTCTGTTTTTAAAGCTCTTGATTATATATATAATTTTTTTTTGAGACAGGGTCCCTCCCTGTCTACCAGGTTGGAGTGCAGTGGCATGATGTCAGCTCACTGCAACCTCCACCTCCTGGGTTCAAGCGATTCTTGTGCCTCAGCCTCCCAAGTAACTGGGATTATAGGCATGCACCAACACACCTGACTAAATTTTGTATTTTTTTAGAGATGGGATTTTGCCATGTTAATCACTCTTGTCTTGAACTCCTGGCCTCAAGTGATCCACCTGTCTTGACCTCCCAAATTGCTGGGAAAACAGGAGTGATCCACTGTATCTGGTCTCTTGATTATTTTTTATTTTATTCCTTAAATTCTTCAGCTCCAAGATCTCTGTTTGGTTTTTAATGACATCTATATCTTTGTTGAATTTCTCATAAGACTGTAAATTGTTTTTCTAATTTCATCAATTTGTCTATCTGTATTCTCTTGTACCTCATAAAGTTTCCTTAAGATAATTATTTCAAATTGCTTCTTAGTCATTTGATATACTCTTAACATTTAGGGTCTGTTAATGGGGAATTATTATGTTTCTTTGGAGGTGTAATGTTTCCTTGCTTTTTATGTTTCTTGTGGTCCTAAATTGATTTTTGCACATCTGGTGGAACAGGTGCCTCTTCCAATGTTACGGAGCTTTCATAGAGAAATATTGTTTCCAATAGTTGTCTCCTAGTGTTCATTGAGTAGGGTGATTTGACTTTGGTTCTAGGTGGCTGCAGTAATATAGTCTTCATGTGACTTCTTTGGCTGTAATCAACATTTAGAGGTGTCTCTGAGTGCCTCAGAGGCCTAGATGGTGAGTGTTTGTGGAGACAGTGGTATGGCTTTTCTTGGGATGGGAGCCATCGGTCGGATTAGTTCTAAGGCCCTAGAGGTATGCATGCTAGGTGCAGTGGCTTTGCTAGTGGTAGGGTGGTGCCACCAGCAGGGTGGGCACCAGGCAGGCCAGTCCTCAGGGTCTTAGAAGTGCATGCAGCATATGGCAGCTCTGCTGGTCAAGGGGATGGGGCTGTTGGCAGCAGTGGGTGCCAGATGGGATGGGCCTTGAGGGGTGCATGGAGCATGCAGTGGCTCTGTCAGCTGAGGACAGCCAAGTCATTTTAGACTAGCCGGTGCTCAGATGACTCAGTAGCTGCCCACAGATGCGTGAATGAGCTCAGTTGAAAGAGGCAATCCTCCCTGTGAGCACAGAATTGAACAGTTAAGCCCATCTCAAATTCACAAACCATAGTATCATGAGCCAAATAAATAGTTGCTGTTATAAGCCAGTAAGTTTGGGGGTGGTTTGTAACCACTGGTACAATTGTAACTGGTATCAATCCATGATGATTGTTTTACTTGAAAGATTACCTTCTGGAAAGAATATTGACATTTCTGGGTCAGTATTAAACTTTTGACTACACAGTCTACATTCACTGAGAAATGAGTATTTTTAAGATAAACACCCTTACCTTAATTGGATTCCGATAGAAGGACTGGCCTCCAGAAGATGGAAACGACATAGCGATAATACGTTCTGGAAGTCAAAATCATCACTATTACAAACATCATTATAGATTTAAAATAACATACAAAAATTAATTTTATATGATCAGACTCCATTTTCACAGAAAAATAAATTTTAAGATTGAGGTTGACAGAAAAGAGCTAATACTCAGGATAATCAAGATAACATGTTAAATTATCCAACATAATGACCATTAAGCTGCCACGGTGTTCATAAGACTCCACCGGTTCAAACCATATGCTATGTACTTATGTTGGCCTCAGTCTGAAGTTCTCCCTGTTCTGGAATTTATTTCTTAAATACCAAAGAAAATCCAAGAATTGTGGGCACCAGTAATGGTGGGAACTCCCAAAGTGCTTTGTAGCCTTCTGACTTAGAAAACCTGAGATCTACAAAGCTCTGACCTCATTCTCTGGGGTTCTAAGAAGAGAAGCAGTCTCTCTGGGATCCTTGGGATTCAGGATAACTACTAGAACTTAATAAATTGAAACTCAAATGGAGTTAGCTGAAAATCCATTCAAGTTTCTGTGCTGCAATCGAGTAGTCCTAAATTGAGATGACATGAAAATCTTCCTTGCCAGAGTTAAACCACAAATACGTCACACTATCACAGTGGCATAGCATATAGCCTCATGAATAAAGAATACTTTGAATGAATGTGGCTTAGACAAGGCAAGAACAAAATAAAAATATAATTACAAGAAAAAGTGAAGTTAATCTAAGTAAATCAACAGTTAAGTGTCACAAACCAGTAATGTAAGTGAGGTCTAGGTCAAATCCATCCCTTTTGTATCGCCTTTTGTTTCCTGAAACCTGAGAGTTTAAAACCATTATTAGTTTGTGAAACATAAATCAACATAAAAATAAAGGACATTATACAGTATAGAAATCAACCCTTGCCAATGGGTCCCAAAACACAAAATATTTTTCTGAATCATAAGCATGTTTTACCCACTTACCAGCCTTCTTATCAGCTTTCCAAGTTGTCTTTTTAGATGAGCCAGATGAAAAACTCTTATCAGAATGATAAGTCGTAGAAGTCGAAATAAACGTGTCCATCTAAAAATAAATTTAAAAGATCAATTTTTGCTTCAGAAACAGAGAATTTTATGAATATAAATTAAGTTTAGAGCAGCAGTTGTTAACCAGGGACAATTTTCCCTCCTCTCCTCAATCACCTACATGGGGGATATTTGACAATGTCTTGAGGCACTTTTGGTTTTCACAACTGGGATATGTGTGTGTGTGTGTTCACACGCATATCCGTGCTACTTCCATCTAATGAATAGAAGCCAGGAATTCTGCTAAACATCCTGCAATGAATATAACTGCTCACCACCCTCCTGTGACAATAATGATCTGGCCCAAAATGTTAGTAATGCTGAGATTGAAAAATTCTGGTCTAGAGAAATAGTGAAACAACAGAGTCTCAGAATTTGTAAATTTAATTTTGGGATTTGAAACTAGCATTTTCAATTTTTCCACATCAAAATAAATTGAGGATTCTTGTTCACCTTTGTTACTCCCATCTGTAACAGAGGTTCACTACAGCTACTAATGCACATCAGGCAGGCAACAGATTGAGATACTTCCCAAGTGTGCTAGCTGGTGTCTCTCCTACCATGAGAAATATCAAAGCAGAGAACTGATGGTCTGGACTAGTGCTTCCCTGGTTTGAGCATGCATAAATCAGAGTCATCTGGAAAAACCTGTTAAGCTACAGATTGCTGGGTCCCAGAGATATTGATTCAGTGGGTCTGGGGTGGGGCCTAAGGTATTTTTCTTGTATTTCTAGCAAGCTCTCAAGTGATGCTGAGGTTTCTAGTCAGAGGACCACACTGGCTGAGGTGATTTTCAAACAACTCCAAAAGCCTATCACTTAACATGCTTAGTTGGTGCCTGAGTTGTAGTCCAGGGAAGCTAGGGGTACAGAAAGAAACCAGGTATTTGACCCATGAACAAGCATAGGCGGCCACCAACATCTACATCCCAGTATACATTTGCTCTTCCATTTTCCTCACTGTCACAGTAAAAAGGAAAAAAAAAAAAAAAAAGAGAGTCACCAGGTCCTCATACACCCTTTAGTTTCCTAATCCCCAGCAGTTCTAACTTTGCCTTAGCTTTCTTTGTTTCTACCACAACTATACTGCAAAACTCTACTGTTGTGTTGCTATACATGTCATCTCCTAGTTTTCTGTTCTGTTTTCTATTTTTTAGAACATCATGATTGAGGCTGGGCACGGTGGCTCACGCTTGTAATCCCAGTACTTTAGGAGGCCGAGGTGGGCAGATCACTTGAGGTCAGGAGCTCAAGAGCAGCCTGACCAACATGGTGAAACTCGTCTCTACTAAAAATACAAAAATTAGCCAGGTATGGTGGTGCATGCCTGTAATCCCAGCTACTCGGGAGGCTGAGGCAGGAAAATCGCTTTAACCGGGGAGGCAGAAGTTGCAGTAAGCCTGATATCATGCCACTGAACTCCAGCCTGGGCGACAGAGTGAGACTCCATCTCAAAAGAAAACAACAAAAAAAAAAAAAAGGAAAAGAAAATCGTGATTGAAGTCACTCAAATTTTGCATATGCTCAAATAAATTCCCTCTTGGCTGTGGGAAAAACCCAGACAGAACATATGTGTAAGGGATTTGTAGTTGAAGCACAGAGAGGAATTGTTTTTAATATCAAATTTTTTAATGTATCAGATATTAAACTAATAAGAATATCACACTTGATCTTAGCCAAAAGGCCAAAAAATGATACAAATGGGAATTTGATGAGAACTTCAAAATGTAGAGAAGTTAAAGTTAATACAGGAGGTAAAGTCCTTCTTTGGCTACTCCATCTTTTTTATTCAATTACTGGTACTTAGTGTGTATACTCTTCGCTGGTCCCTAAATACCACAATCTTTCAGTTTCAACCTATATGGGAATTTACCTACACATTTCATTTTAAAGCAATATATTTGGTATAAAATGAGGCCATTTGAAGTTGAAAAGATTATATCGAATAAAAGCCACGGAAAAGGCAAAAAATAAATGAAAAACTTTGAAAGAGGTGAGTCTTATAATTCATACCTGGGAACATCCTTAAGAAACTTAACGTCAAAAAAAATGTAAATGACATCAACCAGCAGGATAATCACAGTAATGGCAGTATCTAAAATGTTCAGTAAATCAGAAAAATAATGCTGTCTCCTGCAATATAAAATGGAAAAATATGAGTTCATCTCCCCTGCAAGAAGAGACAGGAATATTTAAAGAACACAGACTATTAACTGATCCCCATTAAGAATTCTAGTTTCATAAATTATTTCAAATGCATGTTCTAGAGTAGACTAAGGGAAAAATATAACATTCATGGGAACTTTTCAAACAATACATTTATATTCATCATTTGACACATATATATGACTAAAGCACCAATATGGCAATTTAAGTATAGTAAGAGATATAGCTAAATGCATATTAACCACCCTTATCATGGATGATGGGGTATCTCTGTCCCCTCAAGCATTTATCATTGTGTTACAAACAATCCAATTACACTCTTTCGATCATTTAAAAATGTACAATTATTATTGACTATAGTCACCCTGTTGTGCTAGCAAATAGTAGGTGTTACTCATTTTTTTCTATTTTTTCGTACCCATTAACCATCCCCACCTCCCCACCCCCAAATTCCTAGTACCATTCGCAGCCTCTGATAACCATCTTTCTACTCATGTCTATGAGTTCAACTGTTATCCTTTTTAGAGCCCACAAATAAGTGAGAACATGTGATGTTTGTCTTTCTGTGCCTGCCTTATTTCAGTTAACATAGTGATCTCCAGTTCCATCCATGTTTGTTGCAAATGGCAGGATCTCATTAGCTAAATATAGCTAAGTATAGCTAAATAACAATATTAGCTAAGTATAGTAATATTAAATAATACTCTCTTGTGTATATGTACTATTCTCTTTATCCATTCATCTGTTGATGAACACAGGTTGCTTCCAAACCTTAGCTCTCATGAACAGTGCTACAACCAACATGGGAATGCAGATTATCTCCTCTATGTACTGATTTCCTTTCTTGTGGGTATATACCCAGCAGTGGGATGGCTGGATCATATGGTGGCTCTATTTTTAGTTTTTTTAAGGAACCTCCAAACTGTTCCCCATAGTGGTTCTACTAATTAACAATCCCACGAACAGTGTATGAGGGTTCTCTTATCTCCACGTTTGCCAGCATTTGTTATTGCCTGACTTTTGGATATAAGCCGTTTTAGCCAGGGTGAGATGATATCTAATTGTAGTTTTCTATACTGTGAATTTCTCTAATGATCAATGTTAAGCACCTCTTCACATGCCTGTTTACCATCTGTATGTTTCCTTTTGAGAAATGTCTATTCAAATCTTATGCTCATTTTAAAAAATCATATGATTAGATTTTTTTTTCCTATAGAGTTGTTGGATCTCCTTATATATTCTGGTTATTTATCCCTTCTCAGATGGGTATTTTGCAAATATTTTCTCCCATTCTGTGGGCTGTCTCTTCACTTTGTTAATTGTTTCCTTTGCTATGAAGAAGCTTTGTAACTTGATGTGATGCCATTTGTCCATTTTTGTTTTGGTTACCTGTGCTTGTGGGATATTGCTCAAGAAATTTTTGTTCAGACCAAAGTCCTGAAGATTCTTTCCGATGTTCTCTTGTTATAGTTTCATAGTTTGAGGTCTTATCTTTAAGTCTTTAATCCATTTTGATTTGATTTTTGTATATGGTGAGAGGTAGGGGTCTAGTTGCATTTTTCTGCATGTGGATATCCAGTTTTCCCAGAACCATTTGTTGAAGAGACTTCCGTTTCCTCAATGTATGTTGTTGGCACATTGATTGAAAATGAGTTCACTATATGTGTGTGGATTTGTTTCTGGGTTCTCTATACTTTTCCATTGGTCTATGTGTCTATGCCAGTGCCATGCTCTTTTGGTTACTATAGTTCTATAGTATAATTTAAAGTCAAGCAATATGATTCCTCCAGCTTTGTTCTTTTTGCTTAGAATAGCTGTTATTCTGGGTCTTTTGTGGCTCCATATAAATTTTAGGATTGTTTTTTCTGTTTCTGTGAAGAATGTCATTGGTATTTTGATAGGGAGTGCACTGAATGCGTAAATTGCTTTGGATAGTATGGTCTTTTTAACAATATTGATTCTTCCAATTCATGAACATGGAATCTCTTTCCATTTCGTGGTGTCCTTTTCAACTTCTTTCATCAGTGTTTTATCGTTGTCATTCTAAAGATCTTTTACTTCTTTGGTTAAGTTAACTCCTAGGTTTTTAATTTTATTTGTGGCTATTGTAAATAGGATCACTTTTTAAAAGTCTTTTTCAGATGGTTTACTGTTGGCATATAATATGCTACTGATTTTTGTATGTTGACTTTGTATCCTGCAAATTTACTGAATTTATCAATTCTAATATTTTTTGTTGTGGAATCGTTAGTTTTTTCCAAATAAAATATATCATCTGCAAACACAAGGATAATTTTACTTCTTCCTTCCCAATTCAGATTTCTGTTTTTATTCCCTTTATTTCTTTATCTTCTATGATTGCTTCAGCTAGGACTTCTGGTACTCTGTTGAATAACACTGGTGAAAGTGGGCATCCTAGTTGTGTTCTAGATCTCAGAGGAAAGCTCTTCCATTTCTCCCCATTCAGTGTGATACTGACTGGGGGTCTGTCATATATGGTTTTTATTATATTGAGCTGTGTTACTTCTATACCCAGTTTTTTTTTGTTTTGTTTTGTTTTGTTTTTTGAGATGGAGTCTCGCTCTGTCGCCCAGGCTGGAGTGCAGTGGCCGGATCTCAGCTCACTGCAAGCTCCACCTCCCGGGTTTACGGCATTCTCCTGCCTCAGCCTCCCAAGTAGCTGGGACTACAGGTGCCCACCACCTCGCCCGGCTATTTTTTTGTATTTTTTAATAGAGACAGGGTTTCACCGTGTTAGCCAGGATGGTCTCGATCTCTTGACCTCGTGATCTGCCCATCTCGGCCTCCCAAAGTGCTGGGATTACAGGCTTGAGCCACTGCGCCCGGCCCCAGTTTTTTTTAGAGTGTTTATCATGAAGAAATGTTGAATTTTATCAAGTACTTTTTCAGCATTAACTGAAATTATCTTATGACTTTTATCCTTTATTATGTTGATATGATGTATCACTTTGGTTGATTTGTATATTTTGAACCATGCTGGCATCCCAGGGATAAACCCCATTTGTAATGATGAATGATCTCTCCAATATACTCTTGAATTCAGCTTTCTAGTATCTTGTTGAGGATTTTTGCATCAATATTCATCAGATATATTGGCCTGTTGTCTTCTTTTTTTTTTGGAGGCAGAGTCTCACTCTGTCACCCAGGCTGGAGTGCATCTGTCGTGATCTGGGCTCACAGTAACCTTCATCTCCCAGGTTCAAATGATTGTCATGCCTCAGCCTCCTGAGTACGTGGGATTACAGGCACCTACCACCATGCCCAGCTAATTTTTGTATTTTTAGTAGAGACGGGGTTTCACCATATTGGCCAGGCTGCTCTTGAACTCCTGACTTCATGTAATCCACCTGCTCCAGCCTCCCAAAGTGCTGGGATTGCAGGTGTGAGCCACCGCTCCCGGTCTTTCTTATTTTGATACATCTTTGTCTGCTTTTGGTATCAGGGTAATACTGGCCTTGTGGAATGAGTTTGGAAGTATTGCCTCATCTTCTTCTGCTTTTTGGAATAGTTTAAGCAGGAGTGGTATTTGCTCTTCTTTAAATGTTTAGTAGAATTCAGCAGGGAAGCTATGGAGTCTCAGTATATATATTGGCTATATATGCTGGATGAATATATACTTAAAATTGTTATAGCCTCTTGCTGAATTGATCCCTTTATCATTATATAGTGACATTCTTTGTCTCTTCTTATCGTTTTTGTCTTCTTATCGTTTTTGTCTTGCAGTCTATTTTATCTGATACAAGGGTAGCTACTCCTGCTCTTTTTTGGTTTCTACTGGAATGGAATACATTTTTCCATTCCTTTATTTTCAGACTAATGGGAGACAAGTGTTTCTTATAGGCAACAGATCGATGGGTCTGGTGTTTTTTGTTTAGTTTTGTTTTTGTTTTTACTTTTTTTTTTGAGGTGGAGTCTTGCTCCATTACCAGGCTGCAATGCAGTGGCATGATCTCAGCTCACTGCAACCTCCGTCTTCCAGGTTCAAGTGATTTTCCTGCCTCAGCCTCCTGAGTAGCTGGGACTATAGGTGTGCACCACCAGGCCCACCTAATTTTTGTATTTTTAGTAGAGATGGGGTTTCACCATGTTGGCCAGGATTGTCTTCATCTCTTGACCCTGTGATCCACCTGCCTCAGCCCCCCAAAGTGCTGGGATTACAGGCGTAAGCCACCGTACCTGGCCAGGTCTTGTTTTTTCATCCATTCAGCCATTCTGTCTTTTGACTGAAAAGTTTAATCTGCTGACATTCAATGTTATTATTGACAAGCAAGGACTTACTCTTGCCATTTTGTTAATTGTTTTCTGGTTGTTTTGTAGTCTTCTCTTCCTTCTTTCCTCCCTGTCTTCCATTAGTGAAGGTAATTTTCTCTGGTGATATAATTTAGTTTCATGTTTCTTATTTTTTGTGTATCCATTGTATTTTTTTGGTTTGAGGTTACCATGAGGCTTGCAAATACTATCTTATAACCCATTATTTTAAGTTTATAAAATAACACTGTTTGCATAAACAAAAAAGTAATAAGAAAACTAATACAAACTCTACAACTTAGTCTCATTTCTTTTTAACTATTTGTTACTTTGATTTGTATCTTATTATAACATTTATGCCTTGTTGTTGTAGTTAATGTTTTTGATTGGCTTATAGTTTAATCTCTCTACTTAGAATAAGAGTAGTTTATACACCATAGTTAGTGTTATAACATTCTGTATTTTTCTGTGTATTCACTATTACCAGTGAGGTTTATACCTTCAGGTAGTTACTTATTGCTCATTAATGTTCTTGTCTTTCTGACTGAAGTACTCCCTTTAGCATTTCTTCTAGGACAGGTCTGGTGTTGATGAAATCCCTCAGCTTTTGCTTGTGTGGAAAAGTCTTTATTTCTCCTTCACTTTGAAGGATATTTTCACTGAATATATTGTTCTAGGGTAAATGTTTTGTTTCCCTCAGCATTTTCAATACGTCATGCCACTCTCTCCTGGCCTGAAACATTTCTGTTAAAAAGTCTGCTGCCAGCTGTACTGTAACTTCATTATATATTATTGGTTTCTTTTCTCTTGCTGCTTTTAAGATCCTTTCTTTATCTTTGATCTTTGGGAGTGTGATTATTAAATGCCTTGAGATAGTCTTCTTTGAGTTAAATCTGCTTGGCATTTTATAACTTTCTTGTACTTGGATATTGATATCTTTCTGTAGGTTTGGGAAGTTCTGTTACTATCCCTTTGAATAAACTTTCTAACCGCCCCCTCTCTACACCTCCTCTTTAAGACCAATATCGCTTAGATTTGCCCTTTGGATGCTATTTTCTAGATTCTGTAGGCATGCTTCATTGGTTTTTATTCTTTCCTTTGTCTCCTCTATGTATTTTGAAATAGTCTGCCTTCAAGCTCATTAATTCTTTCTTCTGCTTCATCAATTCTGCTATTAAAAGACTCTAATACATTCTTCAGTATGCCAATTACATTCTTTGGTTCCAGAATTTCTGCTTGATTATTTTAAATTATTTTTATATCTTTGTTAAACTTATCTAACAGAATTATGATTTTTTTCTCTGTGTTATCTTAAATTTCTTTGAGTTTCCTCACCACAGCTGTTTTGATTTCTCTGTCTGAAAGGTCACATATCTGTTTCTCCAGGATTGGCCTCTAGTGTCTTCTTGAGTTCATTTGGTGAGGTCATGTTTTCCTGGATAGTGTTGATGGTAGCAGATGTCCTTTGGTGTCTAGGCATTGAAGAGTTAGGTATTTATCGTAGTTTTCACTGTCAGGGCTTATTTGTACCTATCTTTCTGGGGAAGGCTTTCCAGATATTGGAAAGAACTTGGCTATTGTGATCTAAGTTGTATCTGCTTTAGGGGGCACCCCAAGCCTCCTAAACTCTGTAGTTCTTGCAGACTCATGTGGTACTGCCTTAATGGTCTTAGACAACATCCAGGATAATTCTCTGGGTTACCAAAAAGAGAGTCTTGTTCTCTTCCCTTAATTTCTCCCAAACAAACAGAGTCTTCCTCTCTGTTCTGACTCACCGTGACACAAACACCCATGTGGCCACCACTACTCTGACTGCATTAGGTCGGATATGAAGCCAGCACAGCACTGGGTCTTGCCCAAAACCTGCTGTAACCACTCCATAGCTATTGCATAAGTTTGGTGAAGCCCTGGGGCTCTACGATCATCACATGGTAAAAACAGCCAGGCCTGTGTCCTTCCCTTCAGGATGGCAAGTTCTCCCAGGCTCCGGGTGAGTCCAAAGGTGCTGGGAATCAGGGCCTAGATCAAAAACTTCTAATTCTACCTAGTGTTTTATTGTGCTATGGCTGAGCTGGTTGAGCTGTCACTCAAACCACAAGATGCAGTCCTCCCCACTCTTTCCACCCCTCTCCAAAAGCAGAGGAGCATCAATCTATGGCTACCAAACTCAAACACAGGCCATGGGAGGTACTGCCAGACTACCACCAAGGTTCTCCTAAGGCCCAAAGGCTTCTAAATCAGCTTGAGGTGAATCCTTTTGTTACTTTTTTTGGGGGGGTGCGGGGGGGATAGAGTCTGACCCTGTCACCCAGGCTGGAGTGAAATGGTACAATCTTGGCTCACTGCAACCTCCGCCTCCTGGGTTCAAACAATTCTCCTGCCTCAGCCTCCCGAGTAGCTGGGATTACAGGCTCCCGCCACCACACCCAGCTGATTTTCATATTTTTAGTAGAGACAGGGTTTCACCATCTTGGCCAGGTTGGTCTCAAACTCCTGACCTCGTGATCCACCCGCCTTGGCCTCCCAAAGCGCTTCTTAGAAAAGTACAAAATAGCTTTATGTATTATCAAAATAATCAAACTTACCCTTCTACAAATACTCGAAGAAGAACATCCATGAGAAAAAATAAGGCAATAGCTAGAGAAATAGAACGATACTCCAAAGGAATATAAACGTTGCTATCAGTGAAAATTAGGTCAGCAAAGATCAGAGCCACATCCAATAAGATCAGGAAAACTCCAAATATTCTACAATAAATAAATAAATAAATAAATAAATAAATAAGTAAATAACAGCAAAGATAAAGGGGCTTGTGTCCCTATAGTTATACTATATTTAGGCCAATGATCGGGTACGAAAATGTTATTATTTAGTTTTAAACTGCCCAGTGGCAGGAAAAACTGTAATGTTATAGAATCTCAGAAACATCATTGTTTTCATCCAATAGAAGCAGTTCTTAATAAATAAAATTCCCACCAAACCACTTCACAAGATGTTATCATGCCTTTTTATAGTAGAAACATCACACTAACACCTCAAGAGTGAGGTTCACTAACACCTCAAACTGAATTAAAATTACCTGCGTCTGTTTGTAAACTCTTCTTAAAATTTGAGAATTTCATAAGAAGTTTATACCCATTTCTCATTAAAAATAAAATCTTATCAATCTTGATAATTCCTAAGAATTTATTAATATAAACCAAATGAAAGCATGAGTAACATAAGTTCTTAAAAGACCAAGTTTTTTGTCAGTGACATTTTCAACAAGTACATGATTACATATTTATGGACGATTCTAGTACAGTGATGGGTACATGAGAAAGAATTCAATTCCATACGTATTTATAGTACTGAACTCTAAAGTACCTCCTGAAACTTGCTGTTACATATTCTAAATACATTCCCCATAAATTGTTTACATTATTTGCCTAATCTATGAAGATGAATTCATCTTCAAAGTACTTTTCAAAAAGTTGCAGCTCAAGTTAAAATATCATTAATTCAAAAGGAAACAATTATATTGTGTAAATCTATATGATATTGAATAAATCTATATCATAGTATGAAATCTTACTCTTAAGTAGAGAAGAGTCTAAGTAAATTGTTTCCAGAATTAAAGAGTAATTCTGGATGTATAAAGTACTTAATAAAACACGTTACTTATAATTATAGAATTTTAACACTCGATTTTCATTAACTTTACTTGTGCAGATGGAAGAAAAATATTAATATGTTACTATTAATCTTAGGCAAAAGCCATTTCTTTGCAAGTCTTAAAGTCGAGCTTAAACCAAATTTCCATGATAAATTAGTTTACATTAGATGGGGCACATAGCTACTTAGCAACTGATGAACAGGAAATGCTTTTTGGTTTTGTTTTTTATTTCGGTCTTTCTCATTGAAATATTAAGTATATATATATACATCTTGCTCTGTCATCCGGGCTGCAGTGCAATAGCGTGATCTCGGCTCACTGCAATCTCCGCCTCCCAGATTCAAGCGATTCTTCCACCTAGGCCTCCCGAGTAGCTGGGATTACAGGCACCCGCCTTATGCCCGGCTAATTTTTGTATTTTTAATAGAGACGGGGTTTCACCATGTTAGCCAGGCTGGTCTTGAACTCCTGATCTCAGGTGATCTGCCCGTCTCGGCCTCCCAGAGTGCTGGGTTTACAGGCGTGAGCTACTGCACCCGGCCAAGTCTCAGATATATTTAATACATGGTGTTCTTTATGCATTAAGTCTCAGGTATATTTAATACATAGTGTTTTCTATGTCTCACATACCCAATTGCAAAGGATGATACAATTGAATGAACAATTTTCTTAATCTTGTTGCTGCAAAAAGAAGCAAAAATAAAATTAATCAGATTTCTTCTAACCTATATCATAAATTTAACCAAAAAACAAAGGCCTTTATAAATACAATGTTAAAAGACAATTATTCAGAAGTTATACAATAAAATGCCTTTTAATAAAAACTAAAATGTTATCCTTTCTGCTCCCTGAGTATTTTACTTTCCTATCCAGAATATATGTGAATAAGACAGCAAACTTTGGATGTTTAGTAACGTTTCCATTGCATGCAAAGCCCCAACTCCAACTTTATGGCAATACTAAACTTAAGCTTGTGGTCATCAACTCAAGGAATATAGCATGAAAACAGAAAAGAGTGGTAGAAGAGAACTGTATTTTAATGCCAGCCTGGGCAAGTCATCAAACTTTGGCCAGATCTCAGTTTCCACAGCAATAAAATAAGGTATTTCAAGGATAAGCATAGGGAGTAAATGATGCTCTTGCCATCTCTTTGAGACTAGACACCTAGTGAACAGATACACATTAGTGAGAGCTGCATTTAGGTTGCATATGAACTGCAGAGGTAAGACATTTCAGTAAGATATACTTCAAAGGAGAAACACCCAAAAGACTGGGCTCCTTCCATTAATCCAAGAAAGGAGAACCTGCTTGATGGAGCCTCCAGTAATGCCTCATTTTACCTTATGGCTGAAGACAAGGTGGCTAATGAGGAACAATTTTTTGTCCTTACTGAAGCCTCCTATTTTGGAGGCTCTTTAGGAGGAGAAGCCTCCGACATAGCAGGCATCAGTAGGAAAACCCTTCAGGAAGTTTCTGTCATACTGAAGCCTCCAACACAGGACTCAAATTTCACTGTGAGAGGCATGAATCCTAAAACAATGCTCCCAGTCTGTGCCTAAGACTGGAGAACAAAGAGGACAGATACTGAGGAGAACTGGGGCACTGCCAAAATTGGCCTTTGACATGAACAGACATTTCTCAAAAGAAGACATACATGTGGCCAAGAAGCATACGAAAAATAGCTCAATATCACAGATTAGAGAAATGCAAATCAAAACCACATGTGATGCCATTTCATACCAGACAATAGTCAGAATGGCTATTATTCAAGAGTCAAAAAATAACAGATGCTGGCTAGATTGCAGAGAAAAGGTGTAAAACACTACACAATGTTGGTGGGAGTGTGAATTAGTTCAACCATTGTAAAAAGCAGTGTGGGGATACCTCGAAGAGCTAAAAGCAGAACTACTATTTGACTGAGCAATCCCATTACCTAGTATATACCCAGAGGAATAGAAATCATTCTACTGTAAAGACATATGCATGTAAATGTTCACTGCAGCACTATTTACAATAGTAAAGACATGGAATCAACACAAGTACCCATCAATGACAGATTGGATAAAGAAAATGTGGTACATATACACCCTGGAATACTATGCAGCCGTAAAAAAGAATGAGATCAGCCGGGCACAATGGCTCACACCTGTAATCCCAGCACTTTGGAAGACCGAGGTGGGCAGATCACGAGGTCAGGAGATAGAGACCACGCTGGCTAACACAGTGAAACCCTGTCTCTACTAAAAATACAAAATAAATTAGCCGGGTGTGGTGGCAGGCACCCGTAGTCCCAGCGACTCGGGAGGCTGAGGCAGGAGAATGGCATGCATGCGGGAGGCAGAGCTTGCAGTGAGCTGAGATTGTGCCACTGCACTCCAGCCTGGGTGACAGAGTGAGACTCTGTCTCAAAAAAAAAAGAAAAGAAAAAAAAAAGAGAATGAGATCATGCCTTTTGTGGGAACGTGGATGGAGCTAGAGGCAATTATCCTTAGCAAACCAGTGCAGAAAGTGAAAATCAAACACTGAATGTTCTCATCTGTAAGTGGTAGCTAAATGATCAGGATGTAAGAACACAAGGAGGGAAACAAACACTGGGGTCTAGTGAAGCAGAGAGGGTAGGAGGAGAGAGACAAGCAAAAAAGATCACTTTTTGGGTACTGAGCTTAATACCTGGGTGATGAAATAATATGTAAAACAAACCTCCCTGACATGTGTTTACCTATGTAACAAACTTTCACATGTACCTCCAAACCTAAAATAAAAGTTAAAAAAACAAAATTGGCCTTTGACGAATGATGTTAACCTGAGATAAAGGAAATCCCCAATCCTTCTAAACTTCCCCTCCTCCACCTGGACCCACCACCTCTACCCAGGCTTAGAAAGTTAAGGCTGATGTAGACAGAGGATCAATTGGCCAAAAGGGGCAAATTCTTTCCTGAAGTTGCCATTCTCTTACAAGAACCTCTGATCCCACACAGTCTACTGGATCTCTGGGTATCAAGGAAATGTCATCAATCTGAATTCACTTGACAATATGACCATACAGAACCAAGCCTGACAGATCATGAAGGCATGAAGGAGTGGCTTGGGTAGTTGTAGCCCCTTCAATCTGTTTCAGTGTCCCCTGAAACTATACCAAGTAAATATACAATTGAGACTTTTTTGGTTTAAAAAGTGTATTATGTAAATGCAGCTTCAAGCAGTTACGTGCCCAGTTTGCAGGGAAATAGCTATGACTCAATAAATCTATATCCAGGAAAAGTGCCATTCACATTTGAGAGCAACAGACAGACACTCAAACATGCAACAACTCAAAGCATAGCCTCTATGTACCTTTCCTAAAAACAATTACTCAAAGTGCTTGAGTCAGCTAAGCAATGAATCAAAATGAAGAACATAGAAATAAGGAAGATGACTTATAGAGAAAAGATGGTAAATAATATAAACTCAGAAGTAAGTCTAAATAAATCTGGTAATGTAGCATAAAAATGTAGTATGTGAAAATGTAAATAAATGATTGTAAAAGTAAAGACAATATAAAATTACCAATAATAGTATTGATCTATATTTTCAGCATTATTACACTAGGATTCAAGGTTTGGAAGAAGATACAAGTAAAGGCAGATTGCATTTCCTATCTTTTACAAGTACAAGTCCAGTTTTATTCTCGATATTGATGGAGAAAAATGGTATAATTATGTTTTCTAAATATCTAAATATAAACATTGATAGACTAGAAATGGGCTTCTGACTTGCATATCAGTAAAAAATGAAAGGGATAAAAACAAATCAATTACTAGCGAATTTAAAAAGAAAATATCAAAGTATTTTTCATAAAGAAAAAGTAAGATAATAAAGCCAAACATACCAGAAATCATAAATACAGACATATTACTCTCATCTTCCATATTGAGAAATACTCTCAGATAACTTTAAAATTAAAGGCAATACATGCTATACACAAGAGACAAAAACTAAATTGAAACGACAGTTTAAAAATAAAGAGATAGAGGCTGGGCGCAGTGGCTCATGCCTGTAATCCCAGCACTTTGGGAGGCCGAAGCGGGTGGATCACGAGGTCAAGAGATCGAGACCATCCTAGCCGACATGGTGAAACCCCATCTCTACTAAAAATACCAAAAATTAGCTGGGCATGGTGGTGTACACCTGTAGTCCCAGCTATGCGGGAGGCTGAGTCAGAAGAATGGCTTGAACCCGGGAGGTGGAGGTTGCAGTGAGCCAAGATCACGCCAGTGCGCTCCAGTCTGGCCACAGAGTCAGACTCCATCTCAGAAAAAAACAAAAGAGAAAAAGATATGAGATACTAAACTTAAAACACTGAAAGTTCCAATATTAATATCAAAGTTGAATTCAAAGCACAAATATTAACTATGACCATGACTTATTTTTTATCAATAGAAGGTGGAAGCTACATGACATGTTTTGCGGGAAGTTAGGGACCCCGAACGGAGGGACCAGCTGAAGCCGAGGCAGAAGAACATAAATTGTGACGATTTCACGGACATTTATTAGTTCCCTAAATCAGTACTTTTATAATTTCTTACACCTGTCTTTACTGTAATCTCTGAACATAAATTGTGAAGATTTCATGGACACTTATCACTTCTCGAATCAATACTCTTGTGTTTTCCTATGCCTGTCTTTACTTTAATCTCTTAATCCTGTCATCTTCTTCATAAACTGAGGAGAATGAATGTTGTCTCAGGACCCTGTGATTGTGTCAACTGCACAAACTGTTTGTAGGGCATGTGTGTTTGAACAATATGAAATCTGCACATCTTAAAAAAAGAACAAGAAGGTAACTTTGAACTGGCGCTGGTGAGCTAGACGAAACAGAGCTATATTTCTCCTCTTTCAAAAGCAAATAGAAGAAATATCGCTGAATTCTTTTTCTCAGCAAGGAACACCCCTGAGAAAGAGAATGCACCCTGAAGGTAGCCTTATAGATGGCCCCTTTAAGGCGTGCCGTCTTTTGTGGTTGAAGCCCAAGGGATGAAATAAGCCCCAGTCTCCTGTAGTGCTCCCAGGCTTATTAGGAGGAGGAAAATTCCCGCCTAATAAATTTTGGTCAGACAGGTTGTCTGCTCTCAAACCCTGTTTCCTGATAAGATGTTATCAACGACAATGCGTGCCGAAACTTCATTAGCAATTTTAATTTCGCCTCATCCAGTAGTCCTGTCATCCCGCCCTGTGATAGAGGCTGGGATCTATCACATTTGCTCCATTTGTTTTGTGATATTTTATTACCTTGTGAAGTATGTGATCTCCGTGACCCACACCCTATTCATGCACTCCCTTCCCTTTTGAAAATCGCTAATAAAAACTTGCTGGTTTTATGGCTTGGGCAACATCAGGGATCCTGCCTACATGTGATGTCTCCCCGGGACACCCAGCTTTAAATTTCTCTCTCTTGTGCTCTTTCCCTTTATTTCTCAACCCAGCCGAGACACTTAGGAAACAGAAAAGAACCCACGTTAAACATCGGGAGTGGGTTCTCCCAATAGACACTAACAAGACCATTTTTAATGAAATGGGATTTGTATTGAGGGCAGGTGCTCTCTCTCCCACAGGACACATTTGTCTCTGGTACAGACTGGCAGTATGGAGATGGCCATGATGCAAAGCACTGAAAACACTGTACTGACTCTCTGGTCTTCCTGCTCTCACTCTAGATCATTAAAACAGGGTAAGG